AAGGTGAAGAACAATAATTATAGATTTAGGGCTTCTCCTTTGAACTCGAAAATCAAGAATAAAAAGATGAAATCAAAGAAATCTTGATGCCTGTAACTTCAATAAACTCAGAAGCAGATAGAGGACCGATATCGATGAAGAGATCTGATTAGCCATTTGTGTTTGTGTGTGTGTGAGAAAGAGAGAGAGTTTGCATTTTTATTTTCTATTTTATTTATGTTATAGAAAAATATAGAAGGAAAATTTTCTTTTTTTATTTTTCTTTTAATCAGAAAAATCTTTAAATAATAAAAAAACTGAAAAAGAAAAAGGTAAGGGCAAATTCGTCTTTATGAAAAAGTTTATAGCAAATAAGACCAAACTCGCAACAAAATGAAAAGTTTGGACCTCTGGTGCTAGTTCAAACATTTTTGGACCAAAGTGACAATTTTCGACAAACCACAGGGACCATTTGTGCAGTTTAGTCTAAATAATTATGTAATTATTTTGTCGTAAAATACCTATCATGCCATTATCATTATCATACCAGTGTTGGCGTCTGATCAGTTCAGAAAAAATGAAACTAAGTATGCAGCGAAAAATCAAATTTAAAATTTTATACTCCAAAACCGAATCTAGTTAGACAATAATAATAAACAAAACAACCATATAAAGTTTCAGATCATACTATACAATTGGAGGGATCCATTAATGTAGGAGATAACAATCACGATTGGTTGCCATTATCATCCTCACGAGCATATTTGGAATGTTGCTAGACACCAACCATCAATGCAATCCATATTGAACTTATTCCTGCTACTTTTGGTCGACAATCAACGTGAAGAAAGGGAGCCCAAGTCGTTGGTTTAGGAGGGAGGAGAAAGGGAAGCAAATTAAAGTTTCTTATACACACTTACCAAAAAGCATAAATCGTTTTTTTTATATACTTTTTTTTATATTTGTATATTAAGGTTGATAAGGTTGATGGATGTGGTCATCATGCACCCCGCCACCACCTCAACATCATCTTTATTGCCTCAACATCATCTCACACTTGAGGTAGGGATGAGCATACAACCCGTTGCACGATGAACAATTCGTATAATTTACCCTAAAACTGATATATACAACCCGTTGCACGATGAACAATTCGTATAATTTACCTTAAAACTGATATATATATATATATATATATATATATATATATATATATATATATATATATATATATATATATATATATATATATATATATATATACTGTATGTTAAATAAATATTTTGTTTTATAGTTTTAGTGTTGTATTTAACTGGGTTTATGCACTGGTTTTATACCATGTAGGTGTGAGTTTTGAAGTTCGATTCTTTTAAACTATTTCTTGTGGTGACATATGTGGAGAATTTTTCCCAAGAAATCTCTATAGGAATTGAGTTTGTCACGTAAAACAATTCGATACGACTCGTTGAAATATTAGGTTTCCACTTAGTTCGCCGTTTTTATAAAAAAAAATAGTTATAATAATATTATAACTATGGTCTTATAGGGAACACTCCCCGGTATTAACCAAATTTTAAAATAATTACATATTATTTATAAACTGTATTTAAAAATTTAGAACGGTAAATAGATTAATAACTTAGAACGGTAAATAGATTAATAACTTGATATTATATCCCCAATTCCCCATTGGGCCATTATCCAAGCCAAGCCCAATCAAGGAGAAATACCGAATAGCGAAGGAATACGAGGGGATCTTTTGCGTTTCTTCCTCGGCACTCGGCAGCGATCTTTGAACCCTTCCCAAATTCTTTATCCCCCCAATCGACGCCCTTCTCCGGTCACCTGGTAAGTCCCGCTTTCTTTTTCTGGTTAGGTAAGCACATGCTTTTTTATTTTCTGGAATCGATGGTCAACATGAATTTCTGTTAGATTTTGAATCTATAGGTTAATTTCTGTCTCACTCCTGGTTTAATCGAATTCCTGATTTCTTGTTTGGTTTTAATCCCAATTTCTCTTCCTGTGAATCGATACACCTCCTTTGTTCAAGCTAAGTTCACACTGACAGCCTCATCAGGAATTCCTGATTCCAAACCTGTCTGATATCAAAATTTGTGTAATTCCTGATTTTTTTTTTTGGAATCGATTCCCATTGACAGCCTCATCGTAGCTTACAACTTTATTTTCAATTAGTTTACAACTTTTTTTTCAATCACATCTATTCGATTTCTAATTTGTTTGTTAAAATCTAAAGTTTGAGATGACTGGAACTTGTTTATGTGTTTATGTGTGAACTGTGAAGTAGAATTGCAACTTTTTTTTTCAATTGCATATGTTTGATATCTGATTTGGTGTTAATCTAGTTTGGTGTTAAAATCTTGAGTTTGAGATGACTGATGCTTGTTTCTATATGAACTGTGAAGTAGATGATCCAAATGTAACAAACGAATTTGCAAATCTCATTTTCCTACCACCACAAGTCAATAAGCACGTTTGCTCAAAACCACTTTTGGAGTTAAATACTTTTTTCTGATTCAAAACCATCATCTTTCACTTTCAGTCATACTTTCGATTAATTTTTTGTTTTTCTCTATCCAGGTCCAATCCTCTAGTTTATACAGTCCTACTCATCACTGTGATTCTTAAAATTTGAAATCCTCAATGGGTAAAAACGATTTCCTCACCCCAAAAGCAATCGCCAACCGAATCAAAGCAAAAGGGCTCCAAAAGCTTCGATGGTATTGTCAGATGTGTCAAAAACAATGTCGTGATGAAAACGGGTTCAAATGCCATTGCATGAGCGAAGGCCACCAACGTCAAATGGAAGTTTTTGGTCAAAACCCTAATCGGATAGTTGGTGGTTACACCAATGAATTTGAATCCATGTTCCTTGAGCATATGAAACGTAGCCATAGATTTAGTCGAATTGCAGCCACTGTGGTCTACAATGAGTACATTGCAGACAGACACCATGTTCACATGAATTCAACTCAATGGGCTACTTTAACCGAGTTTGTAAAGCATTTGGGAAAAACAGGAAAATGTAAGGTGGAAGAGACACCAAAAGGTTGGTTTATCACATACATAGATAGAGACTCCGAAACACTTTTGAAAGAAAAGTTGAAAAACAAGAGAATGAAAGCCGATATTGTGGATGAAGAGAAGCAAGAGAGGGAGATCAAAAGGCAAATTGAGCGAGCCGAACAATTAATGGGGAGTGACAAAGTCTTAGAAAACGAAGATGCAAAGTTGTTGTTGAGGTCTGATAATGGTGGTGAGAAGAAGATTAAGCTAAGTATTGGTTCTTCAATGAAAAATGTTAAAGGGGAGGGAAGCTCGAGGTTTGTTTTTGATGAGGTGGAAAACGTGGAGAAAGTTGAGAAAGACAAGAAACAAAAGACAGGTGGCGGGTCGGCGTTGGATGAGTTGATAAGAGAAGAAGAGAAGGCGAAAGAGAGGAGTAACAGGAAAGATTATTGGTTGTGTGAGGGTATTATTGTAAAAGTGATGAGTAAAGATTTGGCTGAGAAAGGTTATTATAAGCAAAAGGGTGTGATTCGTAAGGTGATTGATAAGTATGTTGGTGAAATTGAGATGCTTGAGAGTAAACATAAGTTGAGGGTGGATCAAGAAGAGCTTGAGACTGTTATTCCTCAAATTGGTGGGATTGTAAGGATTGTTAATGGTGCTTATCGAGGTTCAAATGCAAGATTGTTGTCTGTTAACACTGAGATGTTTTGTGCAAAGGTGCAGATTGAGAAGGGTGTGTATGATGGAAGGGTTATTCAGGCAATTGAATATGAAGACATATGCAAAGTTGTTCAATGATTTCTATCAGGTATGCATAGTAAGATCACCTAATGTTGTTGCTCAATAGAACCTTCTGTTAATTTATTGAATCTTATGTGTAATGAGTAATGACTGTTATTATCATTATTTGTTTTGTCTTTTTGTGTTTTAAATGGCAAATGTTAATCAAGATTCATATTTTCTAAAATCTTTTCGTGCTTAAAAAACATTTCCGCCATTCTAATTGGATACTGATGTATGTATGTATAAAATGTTTGTATACATAAGTACGTTATGTTAATGAATAACACTAAATGACTATTTTATCTTTATATTCCATTTCTGTCAAAATAATTTTTGTAGGGTAGCTCTTCTTTAATGGCAACAAAGTTTGAGAACTTGACAGAAAATAGTAACCAAGTGTTAAAATTAAACAAAGCTTAATGTCCTCCTATAGTTGTCAGAGACAAAACCTGCCTTTCTGAAATTACTAATATTTGATAAGTAATTTAGGACCCGATCACATTCATTTTGACGGTTAAAATTAGGACCATATCCATAACCAAACTCTCAAATAGGGTTCATTTTTGCAATATGAAACTATTTTGGACCTTAGTGACTAAGAAAATTACAAACAACGAGGACTATTTTTATAGTTTTCTCCAATTTATATAATGTTACAAACAAAGCTTCAAAACATGTAAATAAATGTAATTTATTTATTATTTAATAAAAGGTATCAAATATTTTGTCACATGTAACAAACTATAAATTATATTATTTTACAAAGAAAAAGGAATCACGGTATATTATTTTACAAATAAAAAGAATTAACAATGAAAGTCAAGTAGTAATATCTCTTAAAAAGGTTCAATGTATCCATGTGAAATGATTGTTAGATATTTTTATGAGACGACTTTCAAAATATTTAAAACCATATAGATATTATTTTTTATAGATAAAATTGCAAAAAATATCTTTGTGGTATTTATTTTTTATGAAGTTTACTCTAAACATCGATTTTTTTGGTTTCGTGGTCATTTTGAATTAGTTTGTTTGTAATTTTGATCCTTCAAAAAACTAAAAAGACTAAACTGCCCTTCTAATATATTTTTATATTTTTTTCTATATAACTTAATGTTTTATTAATAATAAACATAGTCTCTCTCTCTCTCTCTCTCTCTCTCTCTCTCTCTCTCTCTCCTTAAAATCTAGTAAGACATCCAAGAAATGTATTTATGGGATAATGGGAACACACATATATACACAAACCTGTAGATCGATGATGAACAATCCATAATCGAGTTGCAAGTGTATGTATGCGTGTGTTCTTCTCATTTATCTATGTAGAAGATCCTGAATCAGCTAGGAGGGTAAACAGGGGTGGCTATATAAGGAGGTGGTGTTGAGATGGTAGCAACGGTGGTTAATGGGTGGTCGACAGAGCTATAGGCGACAATGGTGTTTCACTTCTAGGGTAATGGAGAAACGGGTAGGCGGGTGGCGTTCTATGGTGGGTTCGATGATGATGATGATGATGATGCTCATGGAGGTTTTATAAGCTCCCGCTACTCCAACACAAACAACATCGACCCTCTTCAGCCTCCTCTACCGTTGCCATCTCCGATGTGGTTGTTTCTCATGTTCCCAAACTAGCTTCCCATTCATTTTGGTGCCCCCACCTGCAGATGAAAACTCCCATCTAGTTTTGATATGGTTTCTATGTCATCAAATCGCCAACCACCATAGGTTATGTGAGGAAGAGGGTGCAGGGATTTCGGTGAACCAAGAACACAACACACACACATACACATACACTCACTGTCTTCTCTAAACGATCCCAATCTTTCAAATCATGAGTTTTCTTCATCGACTTCTTAAAATCATCGTAAGGATTCTCGGATTCCAAGTATCAAACTTGTGGGACCAGGTTCAAAAACAACTGTAACATTTTGTTAAAAAAATAAATAATAATCCCTAAAACCCTAAGACGTATTTATATATATATATATATATATATATATATATATATATATATATATATATATATATATATTGTATTTAGCCCTAAGTCGTATTAATTAGCAGGGTGTGCACATTGGGGTTTAAATTGTAACTTTGGACTTGAATTGTAATTGGATCTAAAAGTTGGGGGCTGTTTGGTTAATTTTGGGCTTGAATTGAAAAAAATAAGAGAAGAAGGGACCGAAAGTGTAATATATATATATATATATATATATATATGATGGGTTTTGGTCATAAGAACATCCTATGTGCTCATACAAACCCTAATGCTTGGATCTAGGTTTCTCTATTGTATATGCAAGTTATCTAAGACTATAAACCCTAATTCTAGCATTCAAGTAATCATATTAACATGAGAATAGGTTTAAGATCATACCTTGATTGTTATGTAGCAATAACAATCCAATTCCTCCTTGTATTGACTTTAGAAAGCTTAGAGTCACAAATGTCACTCCTCTAATGGTTCACAAACACAATAACAGTTATTCATTCCCACAATCTTTAACCCCCGTTTAAAATCGATCCCTGTATACAAACCCAATAACCAATCGAACACATACCAGTCGAAAACAATAATCATTACACCCTTCAACAGATTTGACATCGCATTTCAAAACAATCGATCTTACTTCATCTGTTGATCAGAATTTATGATTCATGGTCCATGTGGAGCTGAAAATATGAATTGTCCATGCATGGTGGATAAAAAGTGCTCTAAAAACTTTCCAAAACAATTCATTAATCATTCGTCTGTTGATCAGAATGGTTTTCCGTTATATAGGCAAAGAAACGATGGTCATTTTGTAGAAAAATCAGGTGTAAGGTTGGATAATAGAAATGTTGTTCCATACAACAAATATCTATTGAAAAGATATCAGACACATATTAATATTGAATGGTGCAATCAGGGATCTTCTATAAAGTATTTGTTTAAATACATAAATAAGGGTCCTGATAGAGCTACAGTTGCTGTTGTACCAACCAACAATGAATGTGAAAATAATGATGCGGTCGATGAAATAGCTGAATATTACGATTGTAGATATTTATCAGCATGTGAAGCATCATGGCGAATTTTTAGATATGATGTTCATTGCAGATATCCTTCTGTTGTTAGACTACCTTTTCATCTTCCTAATCAACAACAGATTGTATATGGCAAAGATGATGATATTGATGATGTTCTTGACAAACCTTCTGTTGCCGCTTCAAAGTTCACAGCTTGGATGGAGTGTAATGCAATTGAAAGTGAAGCACGAAAACTCACATATGTTGAATTCCCTACAAAGTTTGTTTGGATATTAAATGGTCGGTTTTGGAAGCGAAGGAAAGTAGGAAAAGCCATCGGTAGAATTCATTCAGTTTCACCTAAACTAGGTGAAGCATATTTCTTAAGGATTCTTTTAAATAAAGTAAAAGGACCAACATCATTTGATGAAATTCGCACGGTAAATGGAGAAACACATTCTTCTTTTAGAGATGCCTGTTATGCACTCGGGCTATTAGATGATGACAAGGAATACATTGATGCAATTAAAGAAGCAAGTCATTATGGATCTGGTTTTTATCTACGCTTTTTATTTGCTACATTGTTGATGTGTAATAGTATGTCTAAACCAGAGATCGTTTGGGAAAATACATGGGAATATTTGGCAGATGGAATTCTATATAGCCAACGAAGAAGATTTAAGTCAGCAGGTATTACATTTTTTCTTATTTTTTAAAATTAATTTATTTTTATTTTTCAACACCCATTAAATAATTAGTAATGAAATTATTAAATATCAACCACGTATTTTATTAATTATTTAATATTTTCGTGCAGAATTGTCTCTCGGAGTAGATGAACTTAAGAACTTAACTTTGTTCGAAATACAACAAATTTTACTTCGAAACAACTCTACTCTCAAAAACTTCAAAAACATGCCATACCCAGATGTTGAATCCGTTTCTTCTTCAAACAATCGACTTATCATCGAGGAACTAGATTACGACATTCCCGTGATAAAGAATGACTATGATCGTATGTTTCTTGCATTAACAAATGAGCAACGGAACATTTTCCTAAACATCAAGAGTGCTATTCAACAAAATAAAGGAGGTGTCTTCTTTGTTTACGGGTATGGTGGAACGGGTAAAACTTTTTTATGGAAAACAATATCTGCAACAATTAGATCTGAAGGAAATATTGTATTAAATGTTGCTTCAAGTGGTATTGCTTCCTTATTATTGCCCGGTGGTAGAACAACACACTCTCGATTTATAATTCCATTTGAGCTTACAGAGGATTCTTTTTGTAACATAAATCCAGACGGTGAGTTGGCAAGCTTAATAAGGAAAACCTCTTTGATAATTTGGGATGAAGCACCTATGGTCCATAAGCATGCATTTGAAGCTTTAGATCGAACTTTGAAGGATTTATTAAGGTGTGTAAATTCAACCATCTCAAATATTCCATTTGGAGGGAAAGTTATTGTCTTTGGAGGAGATTTTAGACAAATTCTACCTGTTGTGCCGGGTGGCAGTAGACAGAACATTGTAAATGCTTTTTTGAGTTCTTCATATTTATGTTAATTTCATTACACACATTGGTATTGTATCATCTGCATATGTCCATTTAGAATGATGAATAAAAAAAATAGTTTTAAAAAATCTTCATTCCTAATTAAATACTTCCCATTTAGTTAGTAATTAAATAATTACCAATAAAAAAAATTATTTAAATATTCAATATTACAATTTATAAGTTATCAGAATTATTGATATAATATTTTATTAAATAATTAATTTTTAAATTCAATTCAAAAACAGCACCCGTGGGTTCCACAAGTTTTAACCTAGTGTATATATATATATATATATATATATATATATATATATATATATATATATATATATATGATGGGTTTTGGTCATAAGAACATCCTATGTGCTCATACAAACCCTAATGCTTGGATCTAGGTTTCTCTATTGTATATGCAAGTTATCTAAGACTATAAACCCTAATTCTAGCATTCAAGTAATCATATTAACATGAGAATAGGTTTAAGATCATACCTTGATTGTTATGTAGCAATAACAATCCAATTCCTCCTTGTATTGACTTTAGAAAGCTTAGAGTCACAAATGTCACTCCTCTAATGGTTCACAAACACCATAAGCAAGAGGATGAAGAGGAGAGAGGATAGAGGCTACCCAAAACCGTCTACAAACCCTAGAGAAGTCTTAGCCACGTTTTTGCGTCATAAGGGGTCTTTATATAGTAAGGCTATTAGGGTTATCTAACAAGGAAACCCTAAATTGGATGCTTAAGCCCTAAGCAACCAATGGAGCCCTTTCCTCAAGGCCTTGGACGATTTCATATGGGCTTCCCCATAGAATTCATCCACCTTATAATATAAGGCAATCCATGGCCCAAATTGCAATTATCTTATAATTACAATTCCAGTCCCTTAAGTTTAATTAATCTCTTTTAGTCACAAAACTAATTACCAATTAATTATTGAGTAATACTAATTGAACAATATGATTTCTCCTTTAATATATTATTCTCACAATATATTAATAAATCATATTTAATCCTTTCTCTCCATAATTCATCCTATCAAGTTGCTTTGGTGAAGGCAACCCAAAAGGACCATGCACCATCGGGTCAAGTACATACCAAAATAGTTATGGACTTAGGTACTAATCCAACAATATATATATATATATATATATATATATATATATATATATATATATATATATATATATATATATAAAGTTTGGAAGCTGGTGATGGGACTTAAACCTGTTCCCCTCCACCCTCTTGCTAACTGATACCCTCTCAAACCCTAACCCTAAATTGTCCAGCCGCCACCGTTATACCCCCATATTCCAGCCGTCACCACCTCCTAGTCACACATGGACCGCCGAGCATCACCGCCGCTGCTCTCATTGCCAACGAAGGCGAGGGTTGCGAACCCGACACTATGGTCGTGGGAAGACCGAATAAACGAATTCTGTAGCCGCTATGTCTCTCTTCACCGATGATGCAATCCCCTTTCACCCTCTGTATTGCTTATGTTGTGTCTCATTGTCGTCGTCGCTGCCATACGGCTGTTCCGTCTTGTTGATGTTCTCTGACCGTCGCCTGCTACCACGAGGGTGGCTATGTTGGGTACGTGTTTCAGTGGGTTTCGTGTAGGTGTGTGTGTTGTTTCTGCAAGTCGAAGGCATGTGTGTATTCTGTTGGCCAGAAAACGTGGGAAACCACCATGGCAGCCAACCATGGTGGTTATCACATTGATGTCGCCCTTTGACACCATCAACACCGTGTTAGGTGGCTATGTACGTGAAGTTTTATTCATATGGATGTTTTTCTACATTGGTTGATGTAATGGAAGCTGGTGGTCGGATTTTAACTCGAAAACCACCACCATCGTTATGAGGTGGTGGCTGCCACCGTGAACCACCGTCGACCTCCACCACCCGAGTTGGAAGTGGGTGGTTCCCGACCTATTAAAACTTTAATTAACCTAAAAATTCAACCTTAGACCTAGTTGGCATGTGCTTGGGTTGAAAACCCGAATTAGGGTTTAGAAAACCCTAATCTTGAAGACTTTAGTTTAGGACTTGCCGGGACCCGAGTTTTGGACCGTTGGATTGGAGTTAGAATTATGCTCGGTCATATTGTATGGTTGACCTAGTAGAGTGATGGGCTTAATGGATTAAATCCTTAATGGGTTAAGTGTTCTTACTTAACCCTAATCGTCATTTTATGTGAAAACACTAATCGTGTTGGGCTTCGAGTTGGGCCTTTCTTTTGGGCTTAGGTGTTTGGGTTCTTGATGGGCCATCTGAGAACAAGTGTATGGACTAGGAAATTTGGATGAGCTTTCGGGTAAGGCCCATGTAAGGGGTTTGGGCCCAATTTGGAAAATTGGGCCATAATTAGGCCTTGGTTGATTATTTGGCTTTTGGGCCTTTAAAGTGTGAGTTTGGGACTTGGTCTTGGGCCAAGCTAGGTTAGTGGTAAAATGGTCTTTTTACCCCAAGTATGGATTTATGGTTATGTATTGGAACCTAATTGTTTATTAGGTGTTGTTTTGATGTTAACAGTTCGGGGATTTGTCAGCCAGCAACTAGAGATTTATCCGTGGGACTTCGACAGTGCAAGGTGAGTCTACTCACTGTGTTTAGCGGGTCGAAGGTGCTAATGTTGGCCCATGGTTATTATGTTAGGATGCAGTTTTCTGCGTGACTCTTGCATGTATATGTAATGGTATGTATGTTGGGCGAGGCCCGATGGTTGTTCTGTATGCTAGTATTAGGTTATACATATGTGATTTGTATGTGGGCAGGGCTCGACGAGTGTGTAGTATGCTACTATCTTTGTGATTTTCATATGTGTTTGAATGTTATATGATTATATGGTTATATGTTTAGTGGGCGGGGCCAGTTATGCAAGTGTGGGTGGGGCCCGTATCTCAGTGGGTGGGGACTGTATCTCATTGGGCGGGGCCCGTTATAAGAGTGTTGGTGGGGCATGTATCTCTTTAGGCGAGGCTCGTTATGTGATATGGTTGGTATGCGGTATCTTGGGGAACTCATTAAGCTTTGTGCTTACGGTTTTCAGTTTATGTTTTCAGGTACCTTGGTTCTCAAATGGAAGAGCTCAGGATGACTGCAGAGCACACACCACATGTTTACGCATTCTGTGATTTACTCTGATTTGATGATGTTTTGCTAAATCTTGATAACCTTAGTTTTATGGAAATGATATGTATTAACGATTTATTAATCTAAAAACGAAAATGCTACGTTATTATCAGTAGGATGTTACAACAACCGTTCAGACTTACCTCACATACAACCGTCTCCATGGAAGAGCACTCATTGTTCTCAGAGTACTTTTCTGACTCTGTCTACATGTTGGCAGATTCTGATAAGTTCGTGAAGGATTTTGGTAAGGCGGTTGCCGACAATTTCGGTGACTCCAAGGATCAGGGCAATTCCTGATATGTGGGCCTCATCGATCATTTTATGTGTAAGGTAATCGATTCTTGAATTTAGTATTTGCTTCGGCCCACCACCAGCTCATCGTGTATATAGCAAATGGATGCTTTGTCCACTATGTCTACCGATAGCAGAGAACAACTCCTCACGATGACTCTGATTTACAGGATGAATCGATTGATGAATGGGGATATCTTCAGAAGGAGAAATGACACCAGGGAAAAAAGATGGAGGAGAGGTGAGTACTTAGTTTTGGAGAGAGAGAGAGAGAGAGAGAGAGAGAGAGAGAGAGAGAGAGAGAGGATATGTGGGCTTAGTTTAATAATAATAATAATAATAATAATTTAAAAAGGTGAAAGAAAAATGCAAACTAAATTCATTAAGGGTATAATAGTATTTTTAGTTTGGACAGTGATTAAAACTACAAGTAAATTAGTTTAAAATGACCATTAATAAAAAAAATGAAGGTTTGGATTAAACCTTAGAGAAAATGCACCATATTTTTGTAATTTTGTCTTTTTTATATTACTTGTTAATCGGAAACATTACGGAATTGGATTAATAATGGAAGTTACAAGCTCAAATATCTAAAGCATATTTGATATTAATAAGGAATTTATTTGTGTAAACCACAAAAGTAGTTATAAATTTTTAAAAGGTATAAAATAGCGTATAACATAAAAACTTAAAACTAAAAATTGTCAAAAACAAGTCGAAGTAACGATTGGATTATAATGTTGTTGTTTAGAATAAAAGTTTAAATTGAACTTCCTAATTTACTCTTAAGTACTTTTTTTTCTTAAAAGTTAATCACCTTAAAAGCTACTAAAAGTCTAAAACCTCGTTCGAACATTTAAGTATTGCAAGCGTGCGTGGGGGTCTAAACTCTAAAAGAATCAAGATCCACATTCTCAGTTGAAAATTCCAAGATATAAAAGTAAAAAAATATTACGGTAATTAAAATCCAAATCAAAACCCATATTATAAAAAGAGATTCCCTCGATATAATCATGGATTAATTTGCCTGTCTATGTATATGACAAAATTCTTATATAATTATTGTCACTATTCATTCTTTGTCGGCAAAATCAAAAAATTTGTAGTTATACTAATACATCCAATATTTATGTATTGTTCGTACTCAGTAACTAAATTTATTATTTGGCTTTTAGTAAAAGTAATTAATTCATTTTGTAAGAAAATTTACACGTGAACTTAATTCATATTGTGCACGTGAAGCATTTTATTTGGTTTTGTCGAGCCTAGAAGTTATGCACATGCAACGTTATAAAACATTGGTTATTCTACTAGTCCCAAAAAAAACAACATACCCTAACATAGCTTTAATCATACAATGGCACAATGAAACTGATTCAAACTTATTATTTCAAAATGGCAAACTCTTTGAAGAAGAAAATGAAGAAACACTCGACGACTTCAAATGCTCCGATGTGATGAAATCTTGTGTCAAATTCGCCCGCTTCACTATCCTCCTCATATTGTTCTGCAAACTTTGTTCCACCAACTGCCTTACAGCATAGTTGTTTGGAAAACTGTTCGATGAGTTCACTGATTCTGTGTCAGTGGACCCACAAAGGGGAGCTGATATAGCTGCCCCTGAACGTCCTTTATAGTTTTCTGAAACTTGTTTTCCTTTATTGATCCTCAGGATTTCTAGAATCCTTGAGGATCGTTTTTGTGCTAAAGTGCTACCTAAAAGAGTCAATTCGAGAAGCGATGACATGATCCCCACTTCAACCATGGCTTGTCGATCTGAATGCGACTTGTGAGCCATCACCATCAAAATATAAGTTGCTTTTTCTTGGCAATTAGGCAAATCCATCCAATTCAAAACATCAACCAAGATTGAAAACGCATCATGGGTGGTGCTAACAGCCCTTCGGCCCTCAGGGGTAGATATGACATTGGTCAGAATCGAGAGGATTCTGTCGCTTATTTCTGTATCTCGAATCATGGACAACAGAAATGATATGAACTCTTCGGACTCGATCATGGGTGAAACGTTTGATGGCAAGATGGATAGGTTGTAGAGTGCCCTTAAACAATCTTGAATCACTTGTGAATTGGTGTTGCTTTTGGTTGAGGTTTTGAGGGTTTTGATCAAAAAGGAAATGGCTCCTGAAGTTCCGATTATTGATTTGTTTGAATCAAGGGCAGTTAATCCCAGAAAATTTGCAACAATTGCTGCTGATAAATCAGGGTTGGGGGACTCCTGGATTGGAGATTCGATTAGATCTAGCATCTTGTGTACTGCTCCTGCTTCAACAATGGCGGATTTGTTCCTGAAATTAACATCGAGCAGATGAAGAAATTCGAATTCTCACGTGAATTATGTCACTAAAATGATTAGAAACGAGATCTAGATCACAGTTGCATCACTATCAATTTGAAATTGTTAGAGAGAGAGAGAGGGTGGTGTTTACAGGTCATTGCCGATTCCGAGATTGAGAAGAGCGTAGAGAGCTGAGATTTGGGAATGGAGATCGTCGGAATCGAGCATTGCAACGAGCGGCGGAATTGCTCCAAGCAATGCTAAATTCGTTCTGGATTGTGAATCGTCCTTAGTTAGCTCCCTCACTTCCCTCGCTCCTCCCAAGGCGTCGCCGTCTCCTCCGCTCTGCAACCGTCTAACCACCTCTTTCAACTTCACTCTCTGTTCCTCCTCCGGCGACGTTTCCGACATCCTCATCAATGTCGAAAGCTTCTCTGATCCTTTATGGTTACCGTTGTTCTTAATAGTACTATCCGATCTACATTCCGATATGGAAGTTTTTGCCTGTTCCAGCTTGGGAATGTCCGCCACCGCCGGAGACTTGATCGACTTCTGGTTGCGAGATATTCCGCCGTTGCACCTCATGGCATCAATAATTTTGCGTCGGCATGAGGACCAGAGGTTGAAACTGCCATCGCCGGCGGGTGTGTGGTCGAGAACAAGCTCGTTTTGGTGAAGCTTTGCCATTTTCATCTGACAGTGACAGTGAGTTGGTTAACCGACTGAAATGAGAGCTGCATTGACACAGAAATACATGGTGGTACGTGGAATTCAGAGAGAGTATTCAGAGAAAAGTAAAATTGTAAACGGTGAAGTGTCTGGGAGAAGACGGAGACCGTGTCAGAGAGATGAAAAAGCGAAAGTAGAGAAACCGAGAAACTTTAATAATTTGCTCTACTAATTTTAAAATTTTGTTTTATCAGGGTTTCAAGTAGTTCTTAAGGATATTCCTAAATATAACCACATGATTTTAAAATATATTAGAAAATAACCATAGCTTTTGGTCTTTAGTAAAAATAACCATTATTTCTAAAATGGCCGTTTTTAATTTCAATAAAAAAAAATATAATATGGTTTTTTTTTTTTTAAAATATACCAGATAATCTTCAAATATTTTATTTCAAAATATTTAATATTATTAATTTTTCTGTCAATTGTCGTATTTTATCTTTTTGTATGGTATCCATTTTACATTTGCTATATATTTTTTTTAATTTTTTTTGTTATATTTCAATAAAAAAACAAATTATTTTCTCCAAAATTCGGATTTGTTTATCTAATTTTGGACATGTATTAGAAATTTCATTATTGTTTTTTATTTTTTATTTTTCTTCTTATGTCCAAGATCTGAAATTTTAATCCTAAAAATAAACTTTTAATTTGACATAAAATTAATCTGAATGCTAATGTGTTAGAGATGATAATCATTTTGATAAAACAATTTTTTTTTAGTTATTTTCATATATTCCAAAATTTCATAAGGTCCATTTTTGTAGATATCCCCTATTTTTATGTTAATATTATTACCTACATTTAGACCTGATAATCTTTGTCTGGGTATCGTGTATTCGTCTCAGACACGAATTTATTAAAAACGAACATGACACGAATTATAAAACGTGTTTGGGGTATCAAACACGAACACAACACGTAAAAACTTCGTATGACACGATTCGTATAGACATGTTTTTCAGCCGTGTTACACGAATATACACTTTTTTAAAGCTAGGACTATAAACTAATTATTGACTTTTATGAAATTGGTCGCTAATATATTATAAATATAAAATTTAACCCTAAAGTATATATATGTATATACATGTTTGTATTTGTTACATGTCAACACAAATTTGTATCATATCTTATACATGTCTAAATAGGTAAATTTGTGTTTGACACATATAACACACGAAACACGAATTTAAAATACGTGTCAGACACGAATAAACATGAAACAAGAATTTGTAAAGCATATACATAGAAAACTCGTATCGTGTTCATGTCGCGTATCAAATTGCTAGGTATAACATTAATAATTATGTTATTATTTATATGGTTATTGGTTAATGGCATAAATTTTTAATTTATATCATTCTTTTTTTCGCATCTAATTGACATAAATCTCACCCCTTCTAAATCCCAAATCAAGAAATCATTGTAATGCAACATTTTGACGGTGTGAAAATGTCGTATATAAAAGGTGTATTAATATATCTATAAATTTTATTGGAAAATATTTTACTAAAGATGGAAATTAGATAAGGCAAACTCGCAATTCTGGGGAAAAAACTCAAAATACGTTTTTATTTTGGAAAAAATGTTCGTAATTTATGAAAGGTTAAAAAGAATATAAAGAGAAATTGTTGAAAATCCATTTGTTGGGACTTGGGACGAAAATCTTATTTGAGAATGGTACTCGTAGTGAAGATTTTGAGGTATCAATTTTATTATGCGTCTTAATCTTTTATGCAATGTTTTAAAATCCGATTCAACACAGCTAGTCAAACTGAATGGACCGAGCTGTGGTGAAGAAATCAGGTCAAATATGATTATATGAGCACTCTTTTGCCCATTTATGATTTGGATCAAACCGGATGGATCTATTAAAAAATCGGTTGTACCGTTGATGCGGAACCCATATATATATATATATATATATATATATATATATATATATATATATATATATATATATATATATATATATATATATATATATATATATATATATATATATATATATATCGACATGACGACATCAATTTTCAGGTATGGAACCCATCAAATTATGTCGTTTTAATAAAAATAAATAAAATAAAACCCTTTGACATAATCATTCTTTCCTTCCTAAAAACATGAACATCCAATTTAATAGTTGTCAGTTCTCCAAAATTATTCAATTTCTACTTCGACAACATCAGATCATCAAAACTATATACACACAGAAGCAAGTGCCATCTACAATAAATTTGTAGAGTTTTGCTATAAATATATATTTCTGCAATTAAATAATGAAAAGAACACACAGAGCAAATCCTATTAGTCTTTTCATATGGTAATTAAATAATCTATATTTCACTTGGGGATTGAGTTGCTATATCACCATGCACGTACCATGTTTCCTGTTACGTAAAGTTTTTTAAAAGTATGTAAAAGACTTTTATACATGTGGTAATTAAATATGATTTATATGTATGCAAATATGTATAAAGTGCATGAAACATCTGAAAACCAAGTTTGACCCGGCATTTGAACTAGTTGCCTGGTGACCCGATCGCCATACTAGGTCAACTAAAAAATTGGGTTTTAAAACATTGCTTTTATGTACTAAATCCATGATATGTTGAAGTATGATGTTAAAAAAATGGTAATTTGGTGGTAAATTCATAGCAATTTGTAAGTTCGGGGGTAGAATGAGAGCTGAAAATCAACCTGCAGGATCATACATATGCAACCCACCTACCACATTTTGACCGATTATAAATGTAACATAATTTTATAAACATACCCAATACATTAACCTTTTAAAAAAATCCATAAAAATAATAAAGTAATGTCAATGGAGCATGCAAACCCAACCCAACACGCTTTGACCCGTGTTCAACATCTTTACCCAAACCCGTTATGCGACCCATCATCAACTCTGTCTCTGTCCTTTTTGCCATGTCTAAATTCTAATGACGATACAACTTTTTTGGAATGTGACATGTCTTTGGTTTTTGATGATATTGTGGAGTAGAAGCATAAGAACGTATTCCATATGTCACCATGCACATCCAAGAAACAACAAACAAAACTGAATGACAAAACAAACATAAAGGTATCCAAGTGTTTGGTGGTCCTACACTTTAATGGCTAACAAAGTGCTTTTACTTTGTTTTTGCACATGATTCCGTGAAAGTTGAAACAAGACAAATACAACAAAAACTTCCAGCTATATATAATTGTAGAATCCACTCTTGATAATAATGTAACAACATAATTTGAAACATCCTATCTACTTGCCCCTACATAAAGAACTAATAACACCTAATGATTAATTAATTTTTGAGATTTGTTGGTCAATGTGTGAGTCAACTCATACTCGTAAGGAGAGGTGCACACAACCATATTTTTTTCAATCTAGATAAAACCGGTTATAGGAGATTTGGATGAAGAGGTATCCTGAACTGGATTTATTAGGGTTTGAAAATTATTGAATTTCGGATAATCCGGATAGGATTTATGAGGATTTTTCAAATTTTGGATGGAAATTGTAGGATATATTTCGGATAAAAATTTGGTTTCAAATATTTTGGTTCTCAATTTGCAATTTGGTCCTCAATTGAGGTTCTAATGAAGTTTTTGGTCTCGTTTCTAGTAAAATAACATTTTTGGTCCCTAAGTGTAGTTCATTTTTAAAATTTTGGTCCCAAAAAGTTTCTTGTAATTATAGTCCTCATCTGAGGTTCTTGTAAAGTTATTGGTCCTTGTTTCATGTTAAATGGCTATTGTTGGTCTCTTAAATATAGTTAAGTTTTGTAATTTTGATCCCAAAAGTTTTCTTTTTCAATTTTGGTTCTCATTTGAGGTTTTTGGAACGTTATTGGTCATTGTTTAAAATATAATGATTATTTTTGGTTCTTGATATAACTTCTTTTGTCAAATTTGGTCTGAACAATATCATCATTTTCTTCTCTTTCAAAAAAAAAAAAATACATCATCATTTTCTTGGAATGGGGCCAAAATTGCAACATAAAACTTTTTGAGGCTAATTTTGCAAAAATCAACTATACTTTCTAGGGACTAAAAATTTAATTTTGCCAAAATTAGCTACACTTGCAATAGAAAACTTTTTGGTGGCTAATTTGTTTATTACTATATTGCAGTGGAATCGGGTGAAAGATAAGTTTAAACATAAGGAAATTGATCTTCATTACAAAGAGGAAGCTACAAATATTCTTGGGAAACTTTGTGTAATATCCAAAAAATCAGAGTAAAATTTTTCATTTTTCAAAACAAAACCAAGATAATAATTGTTTACAAAAATATTGTTTCAAAAGTAATAATTTATAATCAGAGTATCCCAAGAATCCAATAACATAAAATTCGAAAGAATGTGTGCAATCACGCCTTTGTTTTTTCCCCGATCATCTGAAGTACCTGAAACAACAAATCGAAATTGCAAATCAACGCTTAGTGTGCTCCCCCAAAGTACTACCACCTAACATAACATATACAAACAATAACATGCATACATGAGCCTTCAGCATGACTCGACCGCCTCGTAGGCCTATTGACTATCTGGACTGCTCTTATATCCTTCAACATGACTAGACCGCTACACCGAGCCTTCAACCTATCTGGACCGCTCCCTGGGCCTTCGGCCTGACTGGACCGTCTTGCAGGCCCTCAGTCTATCTGTAGCACCTTGGGTATCTTGGCCTTCAACACGATCTGGTCTGCCTCAACCCAACAATTATAACATGTTGACATATACCATAACAATCAATAGCTAGCAAGTACAGGCAGTCATACAGATCTATACATCACTACCACATATAACATCCTATTTACCATGATATAGCTCTAACAGATCACTACAACATGACAACATCTTACATATCAAGATACATATCTAACAGATCACTACAGCATGTCAACACCATATATACCAGGATACAAATCTAATAGATCACTACAACATGACAACATACTACATACCAGGATACAGATCTAATAGATCACTACTGTTGGGTTATGAGCATTCAAACACTCCTAAGTGTACATGCAACCCTAAATACCTTGGATCTATGTTTTCTCTATTATACATGCAAATATGAACATCCAAGGTATTATCCTAATATAACATACAAAACTATCAATATAACAAGATAGAATACATACCTCTTTGATGTAGAATGTCTTCATGAAG